ACACCATAAAAATATTTTATTACTAATTAAAATTTCAAACGAATAAACCGAGGTGAAAGGTATCAAAATTCACAAATGTTGTTTAAATTTTAATAAAATGTGATTTACTTCAACATATGTCTAGGTTTTTTCACGACAGTTGTTGAAATAGGCTAAAAATGTTATAAATGAACGCATCCATAATATGTTATTCTATTAAAATTGTACACAAGAAAAAAGATTACGTGAATCATAGCTATATTAAATCTATGTCTAAACTTTAAGCCGAAGAATGCATTAGATTAGGTAGACCATGAGAGAAACAACATGACGAAATATCTTAGTTTTCTCATAAGTATGACTATATACATCATAAATATTTTTGGATACAAACTCATGCCAATAGTTGGAACACGAGTTGGGTCGGGTTCTACGAGTTGTGTAATCCAAAATCCAAATCCAACCCAAAAAAGACGGGCTGTACAAAAGAAAACCCTCACCCAACCCAAAATCTTAGTTTTAACGATAAATACGGGTAGATTGGCTCGGGTTGGACAGATGAGTCGGTCTATGTAGAAATTGATGATGGGGAATTTAAACGAACACATAACACAAGATTTTACGTGGTATCCTCGATCGATTGATTGATCGAGACTAATCCACGGTGAGCTCGGAACGAGCTCGCGACTGATATTTTATTAGGGACTACATTGTGACGGCTTGCTTACGACTATCTCGTAGCTAAGCTTATATAGAGAGACTTAGGGTTAAAACCCTAATGACAACCAGGTTTCCTTCTTTGACAAGGACAAGGAAACAAGGGACTTGGAGGACAAGGAATTAATTATTTTTGACTAAATAATTAATATCCTCAACACTCCCCCTCAAGCGAAGACATGAGTGACAAGAATGTCGAGCTTGAAAAAGGAAATGTGACGAACAAGCATGACAAGCTTGAACAACAAAACTCGAGATGAACAACATCTCGGACAAGGCTGATTTGGAGACGACTGACTCTCTCACTTGAGCAACCTGATGAAGATGGTTGACTGCATCTTCTTGAACGTCGTGACGAGACGGTTGATTGCATCTCTTGAACGACCTGACAGAGACGGTTGACTGCGTCTCTTGAATGACTTGACGGAGACGATTGACTACGTCTATCCATATGATATGATGGAGATGGTTGACTACATCTCCTGAACGACTTGACTCCCTATTCTCCCCCTCAAGCTGACGCATGAACGATGTGAATGCCCAGCTTGAAAGTTAAAATGGTGTAGACTGAAAATGATAGATTCTAAAATCGAGGGGACAATCACTTCTGTGATCGTGACTACCTCGCCATATGACTTGAACTTCTTTGTGGACGAACACTGTATCTCCCCAACATTAGGTATTGAAGAGACATGATCACAGGTCACAATTGTCTTCAATGCCATGACTATAATTGATGTTGGTGAAGGTTCGCTTTGACTGAAGATTCTACTCGAGACTTGAAACCTTGAAGATAGCCAAAACCAAAAACATCTGCAGGCCATGCTTACTGCTGAACCGAGACAGAACTTCAGATGATGTGCAGGGGAAAGCCCTTTAATTTCCAAGGTACACCACGTACACAAGGTTTGACAGCACGAACAAGAGCCTTCCCATCGGTTGTCTCAAGCTTGACTCTTCATCGGACATGATGAAGCAGCTCAAGAGAAAAACTTAGCTGCACAAACAATGAAAATTAAACCCTTGCTGAACTTTCAGCTTCGAATCTAACCCTTGATTGTATATGTAGACAGAGACGCCCTCGGCGTCGAATCGGAGTCTCTTTTGGGCTTGGCCTTTGTGTTGCCAACGAACCAACAAGACTACGGAAATGAACAACGTCAACGTGAAGAAGAAGGGTAGCCGAGACTGAATTTTGACTTTGATGATTTGGCCGACGAGGTTGATGACTTAGCTTTGACTAGGTGCCGTGACTCAGGAGCTGCTGGCGATGCTTGATTGAAATCACGTTGAATTGATGATTGAGATTCTCGGTCGAAGTTGTCTCTCTCCAAACATAATTGACCAAACGACAACACAAAAGCTGATGACGACGATCCGCGGACGACGATGGTGTGGGACGACGGCAGCATCATCAATAACGACGCATATGACATTGATTCCACTGGAGAGGATGCAATGGAGCTGGAGATCTTGTTCTTGACGGCGGGAAGGACTTCGCCGACCATGATACGAATCCGGAGTAGAAGGTCGGATTGGACATCGGCTCTTCTTTCAACGACAACCATGACTATCGAGGGGACGCCGAGATGATGTTGGAGACACGCCAACATTGAGTTGACTACCGACGGAGGCTACTGTAAAGGTAGCTTGAGAGATTGACGGACGGCGGGCTGGACTTCACCTTGATTGCGGAAGCTCAAAACCCTAAACCAGGCTCTGATACCATGTAGAAATTGATGACGGGGAATTGAAACGAACACATAACACAAGATTTTACGTGGTATCCTCGATCGATTGATTGATCGAGACTAATCCACGGTGAGCTCGGAACGAGCTCACGACTGATATTTTATTAGGGACTACATTGTGACGGCTTGCTTACGACTATCTCGTAGCTAAGCTTATATAGAGAGACTTAGGGTTAAAACCCTAATGACAACCAGGTTTCCTTCTTTGACAAGGACAAGGAAACAAGGGACTTGGAGGACAAGGAATTAATTATTTTTGACTAAATAATTAATATCCTCAACAAGGAATTAATTATTTTTGACTAAATAATTAATATCCTCAACAGTCGAGTGTGTTTGTTCACATCCTCTCCCTCCACCTTGAGGAGATGAGAACCAAATACATAAACACCTTCTCCAAATAGTGATTTTCATGAATTTTAGGTGAGGTTATCGAGATAGTTTACATGAGATAATTTTAGTGCTAATTGATGCACACAAGTTGCATGCTTAACCAACCAAGAGAATAATGCCGTCGCCAAAAGAGAGAAAATGCGAAACCGGAAGCCGACACCGCGCGCCTTCGACCGTTATAAACAAACAAGCAAGCGCGTTTCGTTTCCCGTTCCACCTGCAACGTCAGCTTCCGCCTTCCAGACCTCCACCGCCGTTCCCCAAACGCCTCTTGCTGCTCCTCCATCGCTACTTGCAACCTTTTCTTCCATTACATTTGGAATATAAATTCTCATTATAGAAAGTGCTAATAATTGGGCTTTTCTTGAACCAGAAAGATCGTCATTTTCCATTAATAAAATGAGAGTACATTCTATGGCAAAAGAATTGAGACTAAATTTATTCCTAAAGTGACATGAGTAAATTATGGAAATAATAAAATCAATGACATAAATAATTATTTTCAAGGCAATATGAGTTAGAGTTTATATGATATACAAATGACTTGTTTGGTACCGTTTATATGAAATAATAAAATTAATGACATAAATAATTATTTTTGCAGAAGTAGCTTATGGATTGAGCTTTTAGAGCAATACTTTTCAAAAAAAGCAGTTCAGTATTTGACTGAAAACTATTAAAAGTGATTTTTAATATAAGAGATCATGTAAAACTACTAAAAAGGATTTCTAATATAAAATATAAATAAAAATTGTTAAAAGTAAAATTTAGTCAAAATGGATCTAGTTAGATTTCTTTTATATTAAATAATATTGTTTTCTAATTTATTTTATTTTAAATTGGTACAAATGAAAGAAAATGATTTTTTCCAAAATAAAATAAAAATATGATAAAGATAATCTTGTGTTTTCAAAATAGCTTTTCGCAGAAACTCTAAATCGGAGTTTCTGCTTTTATGTTTTACAAAAGCACTTTTAACATTTTCGAAAGCGGGTTCCGCTTCAACTTTTGAAAAAGAAAAGCACTTCTATAATCTAGACCAAACACAGGAAAAATCAACTAAAACAAAAAAAAAAAATATATTAGACTTGAATTAGGTGTCTTCAATAGATTTTATTTTCTGAAAGAAATAGAGCAAGCTTATTAATCTCGTAATGATACGCATGAAGTAGCAAAACATTAGTGGCCGATGTGATATGGTCCGGCGAAGATATCAAGTCAATTGTTGTCTAACTGATTATCGATTTTGTTCTTTTACATATACAAAAAGTACGGTCCAAAATATCAAAAAAAAAATTTTGATGCAAAAATTATCAAATTTATACAGAGGCATTTAACGGTTACGCTTAATGCAGTGAACTAATTTTTTTTTTTACAATGTTGACCTATTCTACTTGGATTAAAGCTAAAGAGTACGTATATATATATGATTAGTTTATTTTACAATTTCATGATTATTTCCTTTAATTAAACCTCTTCTAAATTCTTGCTATTTAAATATTCAAAGAACCGAGGGAATGTGAAACATCCCACATTAAGGAAGTTCCCACCGTCAGAGAACCATAGTAAAAGAGCAAGAAAGAGAGTGTATGTGTTTTTGTCTGCAGAGCACTGAGCAGCAGCCAGCGATTTTAGAATCTTTTCCAGCCTTCGTCTACTGCTTCTTTTGCCCCTCTTCCGCTCTATCTCGCATTCCCTTTCACTGGTAAGTAACATTGGGCTTCTGCATGATTTTCATCGGTTTCTTTACTGCTTGAGCAATACTGGGTTTCTTCTTCCTTTTGCCTACTTTTTATGGGCACTGGAAGAATCCCTGAAGGCAAGTAGTGAGTTTTAATCATCAAAAAGTCTCTTCTTCTTTTGCAACTATACCCTTTTCAGTTGCAGTCGTCTTCCATTGTCTTTCTGGGTTCCTTGCATTGTGCCTCGGTTTCCGTCTGGAAAGCAAATTTTCTTGAATTGCCTGTAGTATCTAGTTTCGTCGCCCCCCAATTCGTTCACTCAGTTTATCATCCCAAAGGTGAATGCTTTATGTACAGGGAGGAAGTGGGAGACCATCGATTTTGTTGCTTTATTTTTCAGTTGCTTTCTGGAGTGATGATCAGAGTAAACTCTCTATCTTTTGTTCATTCATGGGTATTGAAAGTTATATGGGTTGAGTGAGAGACTAAAAGTAGTTTTTCTGTATAGCCTTTTGAGTTTTGATATTATACTTCACTGTTCTGTTCTGGGTAATTTGGACTGTAAAGTTTCTTTCTTTTAGGGTTCTTAAACTCTTCTCAATTGACTTGCTTTAGGTGAATGAACAAAAGTTCAAGACCAATGTCCAGATGGGGTCGGGAGGTAATGCTTGTCTGGACTCAATTTTTTGCTTGTTAGTGAAGAAATCTTCTTATATACATCTTTATTGGATTTTCTAACAGTCCTCTCAGGAAGATGGTACCATGAGAATACATGATTTCAATTCGATTTTCTCTGAGACGCCAAGCTCTGCCCGAATCGAAAACTTGAGAAAGGAAGGAGGGAGTTTCCGTCTTCCTTCTCCTGTTAAATTCAGAAGTGGATTGATGCCAGGTTCGATTCCTGTGCCGAGAGGCATACCTTTAAGTGGGAAAGAAAGCAGGTCAGAATCAGACTTGGATACATCCTCTGACTCTGAGGATGAAGGCTATGGGGCTCGATTGTCACTGGATTACTCATACCAAGATGAGAAGCTTCCTGATGCGGTGCTCCATAAAAGTAGCGCCTCAGACCATGTCATGAAGAAATTTGAGGACCCTCATTTGAATGTACAGAAGAAGATGAGGCTTGGATTCGTAAGTGGCGCTGCAGAAGGCGATGAACTTTCAGATTCTGCTTCTACCAATGAAGTTTCATATGTTCATTGCAAAAAAAGTAACCCTGCACCAGGCATCAGAAATGAAGTTAAGCAGGTTGCTTTTTCCATGACCTTCATTATTTGTTTATATCAAAAGCCAATTAATGTTTGGAGAGAAGCACAAAGATCGGGAGACATGCTGTCCCAAACGTTTTTTATATCAATTCTCAACTACTAACCATATCATATGAATCATTTGCCTTATCCATCTGCAGGATAGGGACATGCCGAGTGCACCACCTATCAGTTCTGGAATAGAAGATTTGGTTCAGAGAGCATCAGGTTCTGGAGCTAATACTACTACAGATGAAACAACAGCATCTAAGCATTTCCATTCTAATAGCTCCATTGAACTGGATGATGGATTTTCTAAACCACATGAAAGGTTTGTGTGTATTGCAAGTTGAAATCCCATTGAAAACTTCAATTTTCGGTGTGGAGGTTAATGGAAAGAGAATCTGTTGCATTTTCTGTATCATAGGATTCCTGCCAACAAAGGTTTCAATCCAGAGAAAGGTTCTTTACCTCCTCGTTTCCCACAATTTCATGTGAGGTCGGTTGGTTGTTCTGCTAAAAACTTTATAGGCGTATGTCAGCTTTCGATTAGATTGCTTGTATGATGTTCAGTGCTTTGTTTTTCATGCTTGATGACTACACGCAGTGGGCAAAGTCAATGGTCTGCTGTGATTTCTTATGATGCATGTGTTCGGCTATGCCTTCATTCATGGGCTAAAGGTTGTACTGAAGAAGCTCCTTATTTCTTAAACAATGAGTGTACCTTGTTGCGCACTGCATTTGGGTAAGTGCTCATTTTCCTGTTTTCTAGTTCATGTTCCCTTATTCAGTCTTCTTCACCATTTGAAGTCAGACCTTCTTATCGTTTGCCCATTTCACAACTGTAGCTTACAACATGTATTATTGCAACCAGAAGAAGAACTTTTGGCAAACCGAACTTCCTCCGAGTTAGTAACTGAAGGAGCTACTCCAAAACCCAAGAAGACTTGCAGCAAAATGAAAGTGCAAGGTTGGTTCATGTTTGTTATTTATTAATTATTTAATCCTACTGTAAGCATTTTACCACCTAACTGGACATTTTGGCCACCTGGACAGTGCGTAGGGTGAAACTTGGTCTAGACTTGCCTGACGGCTGCAGTTTCTCATCTTTGAACCCGAGTTTGATAAGAATCGGATCATTTCGACGGCACTTGTCAAATATAAATTCAGCATTGCATTCTGGGTGGGAAGATGTACGCAAAGTTCGTGGTAGCAGTCAGTGCATCAAACAAGTCTCTATGGTTTTGAAGAATGGTGTTACTACTCCTCGCAACAGTCCCTCACCAGAAGAGGTCGTCCATGGTAGGTAAACAAACAGAAGATTCAATTGCATAATTATACTGCAGTAATTAATCAATCTGCCACTAGCTGGTCATTATATTACTGACCTCTTAATTGAGTCTTTTGCTGTACTTAATTTACAAGGCTGTCTTCTTACCAGAAACATATACATGTTTGATGAGGTTGAAAAGTTCAGATGAAGAGGACTCTGTTCGAATGCAACCAGGCTCTGGTGAAACTCATGTATTGTAAGTGATCATTTTTAATTCCGATAAATGGTGTTTGGTTCTATGTTCATCAAAATACTGACAGGGTTCTTCTTTTGAATAAAAATTCAGTTTCCCTGACAATCAGGGTGATGATTTGATCATCCAAGTTCAAGATTCCAAGGGGCAAAGTTGTGGTAGGGTTCTTGCACAAGTGGCTGCTATAGTTGATGACCCAGTAAGAACTGTCTAGTTTCTTCACCTCTAGCATGTTCTTTATTTTAAAACCTACAAATTTGACGAGTGTGAATTGCAGACTGAAAAGCTTCGATGGTGGCCCATATACCGTGAACCGGGACATGACCTAGTGGGCAGAATACAGCTTCACATTAGCTATTCAAGTACTTCTGACGATGCTAATCATCCAAAGGTGTGCTTATTGCATTTGAGTTGGAACTACCAATTTCAACATCTAAATTAGCTTGCAAACACTATTGTGATGAGATTACTATTGAAGTTGAGAATTCCGAATCTTTTGTCTCAGTGCGGTTCGATTGCAGAAACTGTAGCTTATGACTTTGTTTTGGAAACTGCAATGAAAGTTCAACACTTTCAGCAAAGTAGTCTGTTGCTACATGGTCAGTGGAAGTGGCTCGTGACTGAATTTGCTTCTTATTATGGTTTATCAGATGCATATACGAAATTGAGGTTAGTGGATAGCAAGAATGAATCTTTTTTGTTTTATGTTAAAGAATGTCTAGTTGTAAGAGTTGTGTTTTACTTGCAGGTATCTTTCATATGTGATGGATGTGGCCACACCCACTCGGGACTGTCTTGAGTTGATATATGACTTACTAAAACCAGTTCTCGTGAAGGGGAATAGGAAAACTGTGTTGAGCCGCCAAGAGGTATGCTTAAGAATCTTCAAAAAGCGTTGGTCCTTAAATTGCATGCTCTTGTTAAACCCATTCTTTAAATTAGAAGCATACTTGAGTTAAATCTTATTTTCTGGGGGCTTTATTCGCAACCAGAGGCAATGGCTGCAGTTATTGTTGCCAAGACTAGGACTGCTGTACAAGCTACATAGATTTCACTTAGTTGTCCTTTTCCAAATATAAAGGAAGTTTAAAATTTGCATGCATTGCCCTGGAAGATGTTTAGTTCATTATTGCTTGATTTCTTGGATCTTTGTAAGGTGAGTAATCAACTCAAGGAAACATGATTTAAGAATCAAATGACGCAAGGACATGATCTGCACATATTCATAAGTTGATGGTTTGCTTAGTTATTTATTGAAATGACGCAAGGACATGATCTGCACTCAGGACGGCTGTACAAGCTACATAGATTTCACTAATTTGTTCTTTTTGAAATAAGAAGGAAGTTTGATTTACATGCATTGCTCTGGAAGATGTTTAGTTCATTAGTGCTTGATTTCTAGGATCTTTTGTCAGGTAAGTAATCAACTCAAGGAAACATGATTTAAGAATCAAATGATTCAAGGACATGATCTGCACTTATTCATAAGTTGATGGTTTGCTTAGTTATTTATTGAAAACTCTTTCTATATATCTTCATCCAGAACCGAATTCTTGGAGAAGTAGAAGATCAAATCCAGGATATTCTAGCTTTGGCTTTTGAAAACTACAAGTCTCTGGACGAGCTGTCACCTTCTGGCATCCTGGACGTTTTTAGTCCTGCCACTGGATCTCCTGCTTCTGCTTTGGCCCCTGCTGTCAAACTATATGCTCTTCTGCATGATATATTAAGTTCCGAGGCACAGTCAAAATTATGCAGATACTTTCAGGTAGTTTAACTGAATATGTTGGTGATTCACATTGCTTTTTACCTGGTTATGTTGCAATAACCACTAGTATTTGACATTTGGTGGCGGTGCAGGCGGCTGCGAGAAAGAGATCAAGAAGGCACTTGGCTGAGACTGATGAATTTATCAGCAACAATGACATGGTGCTAGCAGATCCTTTGACATTTTCTTCTTCATATAGAAAAATGAAGTCCCTAATTTTGAGCATTAGAAATGAAATATACACTGATATTCAGATCCATAATCAGCATGTGCTTCCCAGGTAAAATTTCACAACATGGTTCTGACTAATTGCTCTCTCTTCTTATTTTATTTTATATTTATGGTTGCTATGTCTTCTTTGCTCAACTACTATTTTGCTGATTTTCCTGTATTCTTTGTAGGGGAGAATGATTAGAATCTAGGTTCTGTTTGCAGCTACTCTGCATTCTGTTTTCTGGCAGTTGGCTTGTGATTTGTCTATCATGTTGTCGGTAATCTTTGAATGATGTTGAACTTTAATCGATTCTTGTGCAGTTTTTTGGACCTTCCAAATATATGTGCATCCATATACAGTATGGATCTATCAAGCCGGTTGAGCAAATTTCTTGTCGCGTGTCCTCCTCCCGGACCCTCAACTCCTGTTGCAGATCTTGTTATAGCAACTGCCGACTTTCAAATGGATCTTTCCTCGTGGAATATAAGGCAAATTTCTGTGATACAGTTATTATTCCACCTCTATTTTGTTATAGTGGCTAATCTTCCTACCAATTTGCAGTCATATAAAAGGCGGAGTTGATGCCAAAGAGTTGTTCCATTTCTATATTACCATCTGGATCCAAGACAAACGACTTACTCTCCTCGATATGTGCAGACCAGACAAGGTAAAATATCCATATGGATGAAATAGTGAGGACACTGTTCATTGACTATTTATTACCTGGTTAATGTGGAAAGTTTCCAGCTTGACCTTGCATTGATGAAATAACTTACTTTCATGTATTACCATGCCCAGGTGAAGTTGTCTGGTGGCAAGACTCAACATTCAACTGCTCCTTTTGTCGACGAATTGTACGAGAGGTTGAACGAGATGTTGAACGAGTATGAAGTGATCGTTTCTCGTTGGCCAGAATATATTTCCATCTTGGATAATGTATGTTCCTTCTACTTTTTTCTTATTTAGAATGTTTATTCATCTACAACAAAAAAAGCTTGACATATGTCAACAACAGGCCATTGCAGATGTGGAGAAGGCAATTATTGACGCTCTGGAGAAACAGTATGTTGAAGTGTTGACACCGCTGAAGGACAGTCTTGGACCCAAATTCTTCGGGTTCGTACAAAAGCTAGCCAAACGAACAGGGGATATCTACTTTGTTCCTGAGGAGGTAACTTCAAATACTAGTTTCCAAATTTGCAGAAACGATATAACCTTACAACTTATTAGTGATCCAGAAATTCTCTCATTAACGAATCAATTAATGTCTTTTGTTTTTCTGGTTTCAGCTGGGGGTACTCCTGAATTCCATGAAACGGATGCTTGATGTCCTGCAGCCAAAGATACAAGCACAGCTGAATTCCCGAACTTGTTGTTTTCCCGATGGTTCAAATTCTACCATTGGTGATACCCTTGGTGAAATAAGCGTGATGTTGAGATCGAAATACAGAACTTACCTGCATGCTGTTGTAGAAAAGCTCATTGAAAATGTCAGTTCTTCTTTTTCTGCTGCATTATTCATTCTATTTCTACCCAGTTACGTAAAAATGACTTGTTAGACTATGGGGCGTTCGTGTTCACAAATGGCTTTGTGTAACCATGTTGTTATGCAGACAAGGATGCAGCAGTCAACAAAATTAAGGAGGATAATCCAAAACTCAAGTGAAACGTTGGTGGAGGCAGATGTTCGGAGCAGAATGCAGCCACTTACGGATCTCTTGATAAAAACCATAGATCATCTGCATTCGGTCGTAGAACCTCATGTATTCATTTACATTTGTCGAGGTTTATGGGATCGAATGGGGCAGGAAGTACTACGTTTTCTGCAGAACCGAAGAGAAAGCAGAGCTGGGTACAAATGCTCACGGATTGCAGTTTCAGTAAGTTCGCTACCATAACCTGCAAAAAATAGATCCCATCTCTTCAGGGCATTGTTGTTTCATCACAAATTGCATGCTGTTGAAATTTGTTGCAGGTGTTGGATGACATATTTGCATCTCAAATGCAGCAGTTGCTTGGAAACACAATCCAAGAGAAGGATTTGGAGCCACCCAGATCGATAAAGGAAGCGCGGTCAGTGCTTTGTAAAGATGGCGTGAACCAACAGGAGAACAACTACTACTACTAGAAGTCTATACATATACGTACCGAGCATAAGAAGTGATTGTTGTTGTTGTGCACAGAAGGTAAAAAGTTTCATACGGTTTTTTGGAGGAGTTACATACCAATGCCATGCATATAGATATATAGATAGGAACCACAGAATCTGGGAAGTTTCCTTTCCATCTGCCCTTTTGTTTCAAGCCACCACACCACCTTGGTGATCAGTCTTGTCCCACCATTAAAAGTGTAATAGAATTTACTTGAGTATTTTAGATGTTTTGATGTATCTTGCCTTGGATTACTGTAAATCCAACGTATTTGAATGTATTGATTAGTGAAGGAGTAGGATTTCCGAGTCATATCTGCTCAAGAAGTTTTGTGCTCACGTTGAAGGTGGGATGTAGTGGTACAGCAGTGAATTCACTGTCTTGTTATGGAAACTATGAAGTGGTTGCTTTAACTTTAAAACAAAGAGGAAAGGTGCTCGAAATCTTACGAAAGAACTTTTCTAACTTCGGAAAAGAGTTGATCGAAATCAATCAGTGTATGAAACAGAAAAGGTTCGAATAGCGTTGGAAAGCTGAACTGGAGCCACTCTCCTCACGTATCTAACTACTGCTTTGGTGACTCATTTTACATTACCGAATGATAATGGCGAATTATTGTTCACCTGCGCTTAAATTGATGTGGCCAAAACCCACCTCTGTCATGATAGTGACGAGTGATGGTAATGGGGCGGGGCGGGTACCTCAATACTCATACTCCGTCCCACGCTACTACGGATCGGGGCAGGTAAAACCTGTATGGGTACGGAGCGGGACGGATCGATCCACTCTTATATCTTATTTGAAAAAAATGCACGCAAAATTTACTTTTTATGATAAAATGAAAGGAAAAACATTCTATATATGAAAAATAGTGAAAATAGAATGAGTAACTGATTCTAATCCGTTAAAAGATCGACTCTAACTAGTTGAAGAAAAGTCAAATAGGAGAAATATGTATAGATATTGCAAGAAATTGAGGTAGAATGGACGAAGAACGGGGCAGAACGGGTCGGAAGTAGATACTCATGCCCCGCCCCATGCTACTGCGAATCAGGTAATACCCGCCCCATCGCGGGCCAGATCACCCGCGGGGCGGGTTCAAATTGGCATCACTAAGTGACAACGATGCTTCACATAAATAAGACCAAGAATTGATTAGAATCAATTCCCCTTGGCTATTTGTATGGGTACACATGATAACGTTTTGACGCTTCTTATCCGTTGTTTGATGTGTAGGAAGACCGATTGAGGTATGTAGAGGGGTGCGTAAACACCATTACCATTTCTCCATACTTTACATGCAACACAATTGTTCAAATTGCAAAACGAATGATCGAGGGAAGTATACAATTGGTGGTTGTTTTAACTAGTTGAGGAGGGGGATTGCAACTTTGATCAAGTGGTTCTTGACTTGTGTAGCAGGGGAAAGAATCACAGCGTGGGAGCGATGGTTCATGCAATAATGTGACTGTGTGACGAGAATATAATAATATTATGAGGAGAATTATTAGGTGAAAGCGGGAAAAAAGTGGAATTTCTTCCGACAGGTAACAGATGAAGAACATGAGATCAATGTATATGGGGAGCCAAATGTATGCGTGTGGCTTCCAATATGCCAAATGAACATGTTCCAATATGCCTTATACCATACTCTTATGTTCTGTTTTGGACAATCCACTTGTCACCTTTTGTTAGAAATGCTCAGGTTACGAAAATTAGTAGCATATCCACAATTATTGATGTATCATTGTCGACAACGAAATCGAAAGAACAATAGCGCATACAATAAATTCATGAGTTGTGGAGAATGAAGTGGGATTAGAGATTCATTTTGGATGATGCAGTTTCGTGCATTTTATATACAATTTTCTTAAATGGATATCAGTTTTTTGACTCTCGTGTAAGTCGTATGTATAATGTCTATATTATAAGATAAAAGATTAACGCAATATTATTGTTTGCCAGATTAAATGAAGAGTTCAAGATTATGGCCGGTGCGGTGCAGGAACAAAAGAAGAAGAGGGAGCTCAAAGAAAACTAATGAAATTTATACTATCGTTGTTACTGTTAGTATGTTTTTTAAAGTATTGACGAAAGCACCATTTATATAGGCATAAAGAGTATGATCAATTAACACCAATGTTGTCAAAAGCGTGGCTTTCCGTAGAAGCGTTTTGGCGATATGTTAAATTCTTAAGATTTTAAGTTTGAAAGCGTAGATTTTGACTATAAGCAAGGATGGAAATACCATACCGTACCAGTAGTTCGACCAGAAAAACCTCCTACCGGAGGCTAAACTAGTAGGCAATATTTAGCGGTATGAAGCGATTGAACCACAGTTAAACCACAAATTTAGCATAAATATCCTACCGCTGACTTTTCCGGTACAACCTCCGGTACGATATTTCAATCCTTACTTATAACTTATAAGTGAAAAACACGTATTTATGTAAAAGCGTTTGAATGAATCTAAAATCATGAAAACATAACTTTTTAATTTTTAAAACATAATTTTGACTGCATTCAATCAGCACGGTTCAAAGCTAAAGAGATTCTATCAAAAAAAGCTAAAGAGATTACTATGACGCAAACAATCTTTCTTCAAACGGACAAAATGATACAAAGGATCAATTCCCTTTCAAAATGGTACAATTGTATTTGTACGCACTTTTTCTCCTAACTTCGAACTTAAGATTTTTATTATGTCTATATTATACGATTTCAAAATGCCATTTGCGGCTAAGCTAAGAAGTAACACAGATCTTTGTCTTCTTCTTCATCGTCCCAGATTGTTGGAGGAAGGAGGCAAAGCAAAGCACATTTATAAAAACCAAAATTTAACATACTCATCCATGTGGTCAACAGACGTTGATATTGTGACACTCACACTATCACCGGTCGATATTACTCGATCAAAGGCTTATTACTAATAGCTCATATAGGTATATTGACTTTTCTCCCCGGCCACGTTGATTGACCATTTCTCGTCTCCGGCGGCTTCATCAGAGATCCTTGAACAGCTTCCGGACCTGTTCCAGCGTCACGAAAAGCACCACCGTGAACGGACCCTGCCGCGAAATCGTCGGAACAAACCCTTTGTAGAGCGCCATGGGGCCCTCCGCCCTCACCGTCTTGATCGCGCAATCCAGCGCGCCGGCGTACGGCGCCGCCTTCCCTGCATCCACCTTCATGTTCATCACCCGCGTCTTGATCACATCCACCGGGTTCGAAACCACCGCCGCCACGAACCCCGCCGCGAAGCTCGCCGTCACGTGGGTCCCCAGCCCGTCTCCCATCACCCCTTTCTCCAGAATCGTCTCCTTGAACTGGTCGTACGACGCCAATTGCGACGCCGTCACCAGCATTGCCCTGTTCACCGTCATCGCCGACCCGCGCCACAGGCTCCCGATCCCTTCCTGCCGCGACATCCGCGCGATCGCGTCCACAACGCTGGTGTAGTTCCGCCGCTGCGCCGCCGGGAGGCGGCCGTCGGCCTGCATCCGCACCATGGCGAGGTCGGCGGGGTTTCCCACGGCGGCGCCGATCGCGCCGGCGATCAGGCCGGCGGAGATCTTTTTGGGGAGCGGCATGATTTTGGTTGAAGGGTCGGTCCATTTCTGCTTGAGGATGTCGTAGATGCCCATCCGGGTAGTGGAGTAGAGGGTCTGCCGGAGGACGGTGGCGGAGACGCCGGAGAACAGGGCCTTGACGCCTTCCTGCTGGACGATTCGAGCGCCGACCGCAATTGGGCCGACGCGGGGCGGCGCGGGGATGTGAATTGAGGTCCCGTGGTGGTGGTGAGGAAAGGCGAGGGCTGGTCGGAGGGCGGTTGCGGAGGCAGAGGATTCGCCCTGGAGCTGCATCCGGACCTTGATTAGGTCGATTGGGTGGGTGGAGCAGCCGGCGACGATGGAAGCCACGCCTCCCTCGAGAAATCCTTTCAAACCCATTTGTAGGATTAGGAGTCTGAATCAAATTTTGATTAGCAGGGAGAATCAATTGAAAAGCAGGGGAAGATTAGATTGGATTAGCTATTGGGAGAGGAAATGGAGATGTGGGTGGAAAGGAGGAGATGGGAATGGTGGCGGAAGGCGACGGCGGAGAAGTGGGGGACGTTTGGACGCTGAGACATATGCCGGTTGCGGCGGAGGGATTTGTAGAGAGAGATTATAAATAGTTGGTATGGGAAGGGAGAAGAAGGTTGGGGGAAATGGAATCGATGGTGAGGAGAGGCAGAGGATGGAGGGGAAGAGTATTTATAGAGAAGATTGGAAGGGAAAGGATGGAGCTCTTTTTTTTCTGGGGTTTGTTTGTGGGGTTGAGGGCTTTTTACATTTTGCAGTTGTTACGCGATGTAGGGTTGATTTTGGGGTATATGATGCCATGCTAATGTTGGAAACGTCTTTCTGTTCTTGACTAAGATATCTCGTCTCTTGCCTTTAATATTTGTGGAATCTTTGGGGGATTGATTTCCTTGGATTTTGATTTTAAGGTCTGGAATTTTCCCCAAAATTTCCTATACGTGGGATATCTTCCTTCTACCCTGTTTAGTGTTTACATTGCTCATTAATTTATCAATGATTTTAAAATCGTAATGAAAGTAAAAAGTTATTGATAGCGTATTTTGTATTAAAACTATGTAGGTACAATTTAAACTAACTCGGAAATGTAGCAAGTTTGGATCCAAGAAATAAGGAGCTAAGGGAATACAAGGTGGAAGATGTTTATTTCATGGCTCATAAACTAACTTAAGATAAATGTTTAACTCATTTCCAAAACTCTTGCCAAATACATTTTCGAATTCCATAATTTTTTGGTAACAAAACCAAATACTAGGTTTTTAACTTGACATGACGACTTGGTTGTCTACATATTCTCAACTAGTTTTGGTCGAATCCTATATCGTCTAGTCTAATTGATAGATTCCGATAATTTCTTCAATGTACCTCTTGTTAACTCGTTACATGTATCGAGTCTCAACCCAACCAATTCAATTAGTCTCATGGAACTAGGTTTGACATAGTTGTAATGTATGACTTTTTCTACAAAACCAAACCTTCTTCACATTTGACCCCTTGGTGCAGTTGCAACGTCCCACCATTAGAAATGAAGAAACTTAATTCGTTTTTCATCACCAACATCAAGCGTCGCTTTGGCCGAGTGGTTAAGGCGTGTGCCTGCTAAGTACATGGGGTTTCCCCGCGAGAGTTCGAATCTCTCAGGCGACGGTTCTGTTGTAATTTTTTTGACTTTTTCTTTCTTGGTTTTCCATTGACTCGATTCCTTACGTGACGTACGTAAACGAAGCTACAAATCAAAATTGACCCTCCGCCTCCCTCTAAAGTCCCGACCTTCTTCTCCCGTCGATTCCCGACGCCGTGTTAAAAAAGAGTCGCCGAACCGGAAAAAAGGTCATACTTTTCTAGCAGGCGAGTCGAGCCCTGTTGCCAACACAAATAGACACTGCCATTTCGCCGCATCCAATGGTCGCTAGTTGAGCCGTTGACGGACCGCCAATTTCTTCCCTCCCGCCGCCGACAAGTCCGACGCCACCCATTCGATTTCATCACACACGCGCTGTAATCAATTGTCAATTGACGCCTTCTTTCTGACCAATAACCCTTGGAAATGTTTTACTATTTGGAAGTCGTCCCTCGTAATTAATAAAGCGGGAAGTCGTAAGTTCTTTCTTTTCCAGATGAATCGTGTCCTTCATCTAGCCGCTATTACGATTTCGCTTTGCTCAATCAAACATTCAGCTGACTTTTTGGTTGTGATCAGGCCTGCTCATACTTCATCCCCCTGGGCCATGGTGATTGCTGTAAAATCCAATCACTATTTGAAACGTAATTCAGGCTGCTGCTGCTGCTGTATGTACAGGCTGTTTTGCTCTTCCAAACGTAACCAAAACAGCTGTGTTCGTTCAAAGAGAACAGCTTCCTTCCGTGTTTGTGTGTTCTTCTTCAAAGTTCTGACAACTGGGTTACTTCTAAGGCACTACTTCGATCAATTTTGTTCGTTCAAAGGCATCTCTTGGGTACCTTCATAACTCTCCCACAGTTGGTGCGGAGGAGTCTTTCCTGTAAAATGTTGGCATTCATCATCCTTACAAATCAGGATCACAAGTGCATAAACTAGAACATGAGTGCGTGACAAGATAAATGTGCATAAGTCAGCTGAGTTATCGTGTATAAACTAGAGGGTTGATGGGTATAAACTATAAACTAAGACATGCATGTGTACAAATCAAAGTAGAAACTAGGAGGCAACGATTAAGATGGTGGAATGTTGAAATACAAGATACAATGTTGCGAATTAACCACCATTAGCCATGGGTATTGGTTAGGTTGCGCGATGATTGCATCTCTTATCTCCAGTCAATAATGATGCGGGAAACAATGCAGTCAAAATCGCGATTCTACCTAGAAGCGAAAAAGGGTAAAATCGTAAAGCGTAGAATCAAAGCGTAAAAGTTTAAGTTTTTGACGCATACTGAAAAATAACTAAAAATCTATTAAGTAGGACATATGCTATGCAAAATATGAATGCACAGAATTTAGATAAGTCAATAAATATATGCGATTTGTGCCTAAAATAGAACAACTTATAGAGTCGCGGACTGACTCTCGAAGCACGGTCTCGTCTATCCCCATAGTATGTATGAACTGGTTGACCCGCCGGCCCCCTTGAGACCCATTTTGCAGAACGACGAGAGAGAGGTGTTGCTTTACCTCGGAGTGTATTCCAAACTCCCAAGATTCACCTGTAACCCCTTTCTTCTTTGTTCTTGGCTTGCGCCTCCAACCAATAAAGAAAAATATAATTAGTTTGTAAACATAAATTTTAACAATAAGCCACTTTTCCCACTATGCTAATTAATTTGGGAAAAGCCTAGCTGGATAATTAGATTACTCTATCGAAGTTGAGAATGCATCCAAGTACCTTATATGTATCTTTTAATCTCCAATGTATCATATTGTTGGTGATTTACTTTTAAAAATATACTTTTTATAATTAATCTCATGAAAAGAATACCCATTTAGTGAACTAAAAGCGTAAAGCGTTTTGGAGAACTAGAAGCGTAAAACCGTAAGATTTTAAGTTTTGAAACGCAATTTGGTACGATTTTTTTTATACACTTGAGTTTTTATATGGAAACGAAAACGTTTTGGTGACCTAAAAGCATAAAATCGTAAGTTTTTAAGTTTTAAAGCGCGATTTTGACTGCATTGGGGGGAACAAGAACGAATCTAGAACAATATTTTTTTAGGTTGGTAGTTTGAAACAGATTTTCCTTTGAAGTAGGAAGCAAATTGCTAATAGGTAGGGATGGCAATTTCGACCTGACCCGTTTTACCCGACTTGTTTGACCTGTTTTGGGGCGGGGCTGGTATGGGTAGTCTCATCGACCCGACCTGCCCTGACCCGTCCCATTCTCGACCCGTTCTTGTCTAAATCACATGTAATCTTAGTCAAATTACTTAGAATTTTCTTTTATTGCATCATATTTTAGCTATAATAAAGTTGTAAATTAGTGAAAATCTCAATTTCTCCAATAATTTAACTACAATTGTCATAATATTGTTTGTTTTCTTAGTCTTATAATAAAAATAACGAATATTTCTAATGTTTTTCATATAAATTGCATACCCATTGGGTCGACCTGTCCCGACCCGCGACCCGTGATCAATTACCTGACCTGGACCCGACCTGCTACGAGGCGGGTCTGGGTACCAAGAAACCCGCCCCGAACCTGCCCCATTGCCATTCCTACTAATAGGACCTACAATCTCACAATTCCAGCCAATACCGTAGAAATTGATAGACTCATGACTCGTCTGAGTCATATGTTCTTGGTCTGTGAAATGAGCACTCAAACATGAAATCCGCCATAGTGCATCAGTACAAACAAAGCAAGATGACAAGCGTATTCTGGCGTATTATGGTTCATCTGAGAGAGTGCCGTGGCCACGGATGATCAAATGATAGCGTATTAAGGCTAACAAATATCACCCCGACGGGCACCTGTACTATACTAGAGGCAAATGCGCAAACAAAGCAATATAACAAGCCATGCTGAGACCAAAAAATAACGGAGCCCAGAACGATGATTCCCCCAGAACAGAAGCAGAAGGTAAGAGTAAGACGAGTCGACCGAAGGCTAGTTTCTATGTACAGTTTACATAATTGCAGTTCTGGCCAATGTGAAAGCAGATCGAGATTGTAACAACGGTACAAGCTCCTTACTCAGGACAGGGTAGTAAATCACCTATAAAATACAAGGTCCCAGCTGCAATTCGTTTTGATTGCCTCCTCCAATTCCGCGGCCTGATCAAAATCAACCTTGAAGGAAACCATTGCGATGCCATCTTTACCCGTTTCGTAATCTTGTCTGATGTCTGCAACTTGAAAGGACTGTAACTGTACAGGCACAAAATATATGGAGAAAGAGTGTGAGCAAACATACAGAGATTCGCCAGATTAAATGTTAAAAAGATGCAAACTTTTTGGAGATTCAGCTGGCTGATGTAAGAACTTTAGAATGCTGAAACCGAGTAGAGCAACTACAATAACGACAATGTAATGCAGCAGGTTTAAACCTGATGATTAAGAATCCCCAAGAGCTCGAACGGAACTTCCACTCCAAGTGAAACCTACAACAACATTTTGAATGAACACCTCCCGTGAAACTAAATCTGACGATTCTGTGAAGATTCAGGGAGAACGATGAAACGAACAGCCAAAGCAATGATACCTTGGATTTCAAGAGCTGGGTTGGGGCATTCCTCAAGCATTCGGCAGCTACTCCACCATAAGCCCGGACTAATCCTCCAGTCCCCAACTTAATCCCTCCAAAATGCCTGCACAATGGAAATCCCCAATTTCATATCTTTACCCAAATCAATTTATATCAAATAAAAATTCATCAGCATTTCCTTTGTTATCACCTGATTACAACCACCATTACTCTATCAATCCCAGAAGATTCAATCGCAGATTGGATTGGCTTCCCAGCAGTTCCCGACGGTTCGCCATCGTCATTGCTCCGGAACTGATCTCCCACCTTATAGGCCCAGCAATTGTGCGTGGCACGAGGATCTCTGACCTTCCACATAAGAATTGAACCATCAACAAGAAGCAGAGAGGGAAATACCGAATTAAGCCACAAACAGAACGGAACAGAAAACAAACGACGACGAGTTTGTAAACCTGATTGAGGAAAGCGAAGGCGGACTGTTCGTTGGAGATCGGGCCAGCAATGGCGATGAATTTGCTCTTTTTGATTTCCTTTTCGAAGATTACTTTCTCTTTTATCGTCGTGAACGCGCCGGCAGAATTTCCGCCACCGCTACTTGTGGTGGCCATGGCTCGCCAAGCGGAAATGGCGACGACGGAGGCAGAGGGAAGGAGGAGAGAGCGGTGGCGGGTCAGACCGCAGCAACGGTGGAAAGGGAGGTGGTGGGCGCGGCTCGGTTTCGGCGTTGTGAGATACATTTGCTGCCCGTCGTTGGCTTGTCCAATGAATTGACTCGCTGCCAATTTGTTAAGGGGGAAAGCCATGGCTGTGTTTGGGCTTTACTTCATCAGAAATGGGCTGTTGAGGAGCGAAGCCCATTCTGACATATAACTCCGTCTTGAATATTGACTTGGAAAAGCCTTCAGCATAATCACTGATCGCATTCAGAAGGCTAGTCAATGTTAAAGAAGACGCTAGGCGCTATGCCACTATTTAGGCGAAAAGGCACCACCTAGCGCTCAAGCCGATTAGTCGTTGTGTGAGCGAGATTAAACGTTAAAAAAAATATGATAGATAAGTCATATTCCACAAAAATTCAAGTCGACATATCATTATTCATCCATTCATATAGACATACAACCCTTTTCCACAATCCCAAACATCCCAAGTCCCCAACCATTAGGACGAATCTCGCCTGTCGAATGATGAGGGGGAGCGGTTGGTCGAATGGAAATGGGAAATAGAATAGGGTTTGTGATTTCCACAAAAAGGCTACACTTTCTCCTTTTATTAGTTGTTTTGGGCGTCACCCACCACATTGAAAAAGCGCCTCCGAGCGCCTAGGCGCCGATTATGCGTTTTCCACGGAGATTAATCATTTATCACGCCTAGATCAATCGCCCAGGGCTAGACGGGACGATTTCCTCCTGCTCAGCTATTAATCGCGCCTAGGTGAAAGATTAATCGCGTCTTCTTGAACACTGATGCTAGTAAACATGATCAACGCATTGCAGCAAGCTAAGAGCTTCTACCTTTTTTTTATTCGTCACCCTGCAACTTGATCAACGCATTGCAGCAGATTTGCCACTTCTGAAATATTATCTGCCTTAACAAGTTGAGAAGGTTTCAATGACCATTGACCAATATCATTTGGCAAAATTCTGTCCCAAAAGAAACCATTCTGACTAGGGCTGTCCATTTGATTTTGGTTTTAACCAAAACCAAACCAATTAGAAAGTTAATGGTTTCAGTTTTTCGGATTTAAACCAATAAGCAACTTAATGATTTTGGTTTGGTTAAAACCAAAAAACCAATAGAAACCATTAAGAAACCAATAAGAATAAAATTATTTGTCAACAATTTTTTTTTTCTTTTGACACGCCTGCCAACCAATAATTTGTAATAGCAATTTACCATTATTATGACGTTTATTCAATAAAAAGGCGGGAAATGGGAATAAATATGAGTGTATGAGTACATGTTGGATTTTTGGTTATCCAAACCAAAACCAAAACCATTAAAGCTCTTATTGGTTTTTGGCAAACCGAAAACCAATAAGAGCCTTAATGGTTTTGGTTTTGGTTTTTGGGAGTTTGATTTTTGGTTTTTCATTCTTAATGATTTTGTTAACCAAACCAAACTAAATTGACAGCCCTAATTCTGACTCTGAGGAAGCAAACAAGCGAACAATGTATCAGCAAGGAAACCGAGATTAGAAAATCGAGAGTTATCCTAGGGAGGAGAATATATTCAAATAGAAATGTTTAATTTCATGTAAAGTTGCCACTTCATAGTTACCCAAAACAATATCGATAATAATGGGATTCCAAAATACCTACTGTCCTCTAAGACTCTACAGAAAGCTATGAAAATGTGAGAAATATCATAAGAGGATGGGAATAGAGGATTCAAGATGGTTTCAGCTTTATCTACTTGGGATTGCCACCATGTTTCCCCCTTATCCATGAACACTAACGCTCTGTTTGGCAACAAGGGGGGTGCAAATTGCAGGAGGGTGCAAGTTGAGGGGTAAATTGCTGGGGGGTGCAAATTGCTGGGGGGTGTAAGTGGAGGGGTAAATTGTTGTTTGGATGAAAAAGTAGGGGGGGTGCAAATAGAGTGAAAAGTAAGTAATTATATTATTTTAAAATATATTTTAAAAATAGATTTTAAGATTACAAAATAGATTTTAAAATTTTAAAATATTATCATAAAATAATAAAATAAATATTACTATATAATAATAAATATACTTTACTAAAAATAGTTATTATATAATAATGCTCAAATAATAATTAATTATGACAATTGTATAATCATTGATCGAGCGATCTCAAAACTCGAAGCTCAACTTGTAACTGGTCATCCTATATAGGGTTTTCGTGTCTAGTTTAATCTTAAATTGTCAAACTTAGTCAAACACGTTCGAATTTGTAAGTTTTAACTATTTAGTCAAATAAACTGAGTTAACCAAACAATTTCTCTCTATATTTTCCACAAACACCTCGTATCTCTAATTTTCAATGCAAATTCGATTCAACCAAGAGATTTAGATTTGACTTGACGAATAAACTTGTTTCTAGAGTCAAATGGTCAACCCCGAATAATGTTTACATTAATGATATTTATAAAAAAAAAGAAATTGATAATATTAATTATTATATAATTATATATAACACAATTAGAAAAACAAAATTCCATAATTCCCCCCTCCCCCTCTCTTCCTTCCTTCCCTTGCACCCCAATTTGGGGGGTAAGCCGAAACAGTAAATTTGCACTCCCGTTTTGCACCCCCCTACTGTTCCAAATTAACCAAACAGGTGCAAATGTGTTGGAAACTGTATTTACCCCTCACATTTGCACCCTCCTCTCATTTACCCCTCTTCCCAAACAGAGTGTAACTAATGATTAAAACAGGAAGATGAGGTAGAATTAATTAATGAGGAAAGCCAAGACCTAAAGATGTCATCCAGACAAAATGGCCAGAAATGATGCCAACTGAGATCCAAGGCAACAGGTTCTCAGTTGAAGTTCCAAGAGCAAATTAAATACAATCACAGGCTTTCGACAATGCATTCATGCAATCAAGATGTAGAGAAGAGATGCAGGAGTTGGTCCTGCAGCTCCAGATCCTTTATGATGAGGATTCTGGTAAAACATGAATTTCAACATCTGGTATTTTTCTTCATAAATTAATCTTGAACATGTAAGCGGAATTAGAGCGGACATTGTTCTTAGGAAGATACTAACTCAGGACCCCGTGGTACAAGGCGTAGAAGACGCATTGAAGGAGATAGAATTTGGGGAAAAGTCTTCATCTGGAGAAACCACTCGCACCTGCCAGAAGGAAAGCATTGAATGGTCAGAGGATATGAACAACATTGAGGCAGAAAGTATTCATGTAAGCACATTAACTTTGCAAACTTGAGACAATGGAGCACATCTGTTGAGACACCAGGCATCTTTGTAACACTTTATGCGTCACCTTCAAAAGTATAATGAGATGAAACATGAATTCTCATAACAGATGGAGAGAAAGCAGAATAATTGACTCATTAAACTAAACTGCAGAAATGGTGACTGCTGGACACCACTAAGGCATATGTACCAACATACTGAATGCCTGATGGTGGCTTTGGTCATTTGGTACCATTTCTCTCTTGTCTTTCTATATTGCCATCAACTGCCGGAAACCCAGACATAGAAACAAAAGATGGACGATGAAACCATCTATCATTATCTTTCACTTGCAAAAATTTGAAATTGTTTCAAACTGATTGTGTATGTGCCACTACCTAACAGTTAAGTCAGTGATGTCCTTGCAATTTTTCAATTTCATAGTCCCGTAAGAACTACACAACAAACAACATGCACGATTTCTCTACTGTACATGCCCTCTTGCAGCAGCATTGAGAGCCATCTCTAGCATGCACTTGCCTTTATACCCTTCCATCTCTTCAACCCACAACACACACTTCATCCTCCCACCCATTATCACCATCTCTGCCCTCAACACCTTAGCCTTCACTGTCCTCACCGCCTTCCCAACATCCTCCATTAGCTTCCTCCTGTCTTCACAGCTCAGCATCACCTTCACAACCTGCTGCTGCTGCTGTTCTCCCTTTCCTTCCTTGTCTTCAATACACACAACACTGTCGTCATCATCGCCACCAGGATACAAGCAGTCCGACCCACCACCGCATATTGCATTCAGTTCAAATGCTGTCGACTTCAGCTGCTTCAGTTGCCTGATGGTTTCTTCAAGCACTGATGCTTTGTTCTTCTGGTGTGAACATAGGTCAGCTTGAGATTGGTTGAAGTTTGAACTAGGAATAGAGACAGAGTTAGGAGAAAGTAATTATTACTTTGATGATATTAGGGAGGATTGTGCGCAGGTCTGAGTACATGCTGTTCATTCGAGACCTTCGATCCCTCTCAGAGACTTTGTGCTTCTCTTTGGCGTCTTCTTTGGATACTCTTCTCCTCAACGAATGCTGTCTGTAAGCATCAAGGGAACGATAGTCGATTGGGTTTGGTTGTGCTCTTGAGTTATAGAAACTTTTTATGCGATGTGCCTCTTGTATCTGTGGAGAAAACGAGAACGTGAATCAACTACGTTATAGGGGAAATAGAAAACAGGACAAAGTGAAATTGTCTGCATGCAATTAGGCAAAGACTAAGCTACCTGCCGTAGAGAAACCATTTCAAGAATGCCAAGTCAAGCTTGGGCATCAAGTTGCTCCAAAAGGGTAACAGATTCTATTGCAGGATGAGTGTTGCAGATCACAGCTTTGCTTGTTGTAGGAAGCTTTGCAATGTTACTTAGTCACTGTCTCCTGAAAGGAAATTTATGAGATGGGATTCACAAATATATGCAAGCAAACCAATGAATGTACTATCAATACCCAAGATCAAACAATTTAAAGCACTTGATTCCCTTGATCATGTGATCTGGAGAACTTAATGCTATGCACGAAAAAATGCCTTTCTTTTCAGCATCCTGCATTGTCATTTATCTTCACTATTCAATACCCCTCCAATTGAAGCTCTCGACTTTCACAATCCAAGATGAACAGCAGAGGCTGGATTTCCAACATGACAAAAAGGTTACAAACAAACGGATTTTGATACCTCTTAAGACCTATATTAGCTGAAGTTAATTTAGGGAATAAATATCCCAAAGGATATGAATGCCATTAGCAGCTACAAAGAAATTCAAAAGTGTGATTCATCTCCACAAGTTATTTCCAGTGGAAACCCTCTGCTTCAGCTGTTGCGTCATTTATGCAGATGAAGAAAAACCTTGATCATCTCGACATGTTAGAACATATAGGTTATGCTGTTCTAAATGACAACCCATTGCAGTGAATCATTGGACATTCAATGATTTTGCCTTACAAAAAGATATCACAGACAGTTATAGTAGAAGAAATAGTGTGAGATGGACAGCTTCATTCCAATGTTACTAGACCACGCCACAGATTGTTTGAGATCAGAAACTGAACAACTATGGACTGTTGGAAATCCGAAACTTGAAACAACAATCATCCAATGGCTTCATAAAGCCAAAGGGTACTAAACTGCGAAAGTTGAAAGATTAACATGGACATTTGAAAAGTACACTACTTCTTTGTTTTCCTACCCTGGTTAACATGTGAGAACTGAGATCAAAAGATGAACATGAACAAACTATTTTCTTGCCATGCTCAGGGAAACAAAACCCCAAAATTCCAGCCAATGGCTGACCGCTTTTCATCCTACCACAGTCAGCTCAAAACCATATCTACCCAAAATATGAACAAGCCTATGCCGCCACAGAATTTCCTTAACCCTCATTTCGCCCACGATCAACCCATATTCTTCATAGAAACATACACCTCATCCTCCCCCAAGAAGAACTCCAAATCACCATCACTATAACCTCCATTATCAGTCTCATTCGCCCCCACACTTTCTCCAAAGATCATTCCTTCAACAGTCGTGGCAGCAGTGTTTCCTAATTTGGCATCTGAATCCTGAGTTTCCAGCCTCAACTTGCTGCCCTGCCCTGTTCCCATCATCTTCCTCGGTCTTTTTAGAATGGACTTCCGATAAGTTCCCTTCTTTCTTCCATTTCTCACCGCCGTGTCACTGCTACCCTGCCCATTATCTGCAGAAGCCCCACCTCCTCCTTCACTTCCACAATGTTTCTTCCTCTCACTCTCTTTCTCCTCACCGCCATTCTCCTCCGACGAACTATCATCAGAAATTTCCATCACATTCTCCTCCGGCCGAAACCCCTTCACTCCACCTTTACTGCCACCACCGCCATCGCCTCCTCTACCTTCGCCTCCGCCGCTCTGCTCACGCAAATAGTACTTAAGAGGAAAACACCCATACCCACAATAATACTCCTCCCGGTTTCCTTCAGCCACCGGCGGAGGCGACCCAACCGCTAACCCATGAAACCCTTTCCGGCAATTCTGACACCTGAGGCAGCAATCCTCATACGCGCTCTCATACTCGTACGCATAAAAGCAGTAAGGGCAAACCGTCCAAAATGTGCCCGAATCCCCCTTCGATTTCCCACCCTCTCCTTTTTCTTCTTCTTCGCCCGGATTCGCTCTCGGTTCCTCTCGAGATTTCCCTTTGTCCTCCGCCGCCATGGCCGACCAAGCGGTGAAGACGTGATCGAAGGCTTCTTGGCAGAAGGGGAAGCTGTTCTTGGAAGGGTGAACGAGGGCCAAGAGCTTGGTGAACTGGCTTCTCATGCATGCTCGGTCGCCGGCCATTGAGTCGTCGAGCTGGAGTACGGAGGCCCAATCGGGTAGGCCGGTGGTGGGTAGGCGGTTCTGGGCGGCGAGGAGAATGTCGACAATGGCGATGATTTGAGGTGGCTCTGTCCGGCTAGGGTCGGCGTTTTGGGCCAAAAGAGCGTATTTCCGGGCGCCGGAGAAATCGCGGAAGCCGAGGAGTTGTGCCGAAAGAGAAAGCAAGGGTTCCGGGTCGGGCTGAGGCTGCTGCGCCATTTTTGCTTTTCTGGCCGCTGTCGCTGTGTGTCTGACAAGATGCGATTCCTCCTGGCTCTGCGATTTTGAATAGACCAGGAAGTTAAAGGGACGGAGGGAGCTGTGGGTTTCCCATGAACATACAAATTTGGCCTTTTCTAGTGCGATCTGTGGGGGGTAGTGGGGAAAAAAATCTAAACGGCAACAGATGGACGGCGGGGATTTCACCTGAAGATCATATCTATTTCTTTCTGGATGTAGCTTTTCTTGTGTATTTGTATATAGTTTATTTTCACATTTATAACCGCTGGAATGGGTAAATAGTAAGTTTGGCCATTTGAATTATTAACAAATTTCACTTCTGTCACCAAAATTAGTTTATTTCATTTATAATCACTAAAATTAGTTCAACAGTTCAAATTTGGTAACTCTCTGTTAGTCTCCATTAATTTTTGCTGACGTGACAGTCAACCTGATAGTTGATCGATAAATATGTAACCATCGTAACAATTACAAAAATAATAAAATAAATCTTTTACAATTTTCACCTCATTTTCAAAACAAATTACACTAAAACCAAAATTGAAATCTCCGATTCTTTTTCCTTATTACAACCGTCGCGGTGTCTTTCTCCCTCCCGTCAACCTCATCGCCCTCACCTCCTCCATCCTCTCCCTCATCGACAGTCGCGCGCCGCCCCGCCCTCCTCACCTCACCCGCCGCGTTCTCCCTCACCCATGCCCACCTCCACTCCCTCTCCCTCCCTCGAAAATCCAACTCTTTGCCAAACACCTCCTATCCTCCCTCCTCCAAACCACCACCTCACCTTGCACTTCTCCCCTCTCACTCCGTCGCTGCCCATTTCCTTCCACCACCGCGACCTCGACCTCGACACCGCTCTCCTCCTCCTTCCCCTTCTCTTCGACCTCCTCCAACGCCACCTGAACATGCTCGACGCCACCTCGTACGAGTACTGGCGCCTCCCCCCTCGCCGCCCACTACTGTGCTCGTAGAAACACAATAACAAATGTGAGGGGAAGAGAACATATTTCGAAGAAGATTCAATTAAAAATCCGTTTCAGCCATGAACTGGGCGATTCAATTCGCTCGCATCAACAAGGACTCCTGGGTGATGATCTTATCGGCGCGGGGAACATATTTAGATGATTTTGGTGATTTCGGAGTAGGAGGTGTCCACCGGATTCGGTGGTGATGGCCGGCGCTGATGGTAATTACGATGGTTGTGGCATGACTTGGAAGTGGGACTGTGAAGTGCTATCTGGTTCGGAGGAGCAGGAGATGGGAGTCGGGGCACCCGAATTGCTGGTTGTCTTGACGAAAATGAAGTCAGAGAATCCTCAGCGCTGGTGGTGACGGAGTAGTCGAGCGGGAATCCTCTCCCGCTCGGGTTTTCCTTTTTGTCATTTAATAATTATATGTTGTTGTGTGAATTTTTTAAATTATATTATGATAATCAGGTGAAAATTTTAAGGGAATAAATTTTATTATTTTTGTAATTGTCACGTCACATATTTAACGGTCAACTATCAGAGATGACTGCCACATAAGCAAAAGTTAACGGAGAGTGACCAAATTTGAACTTTTGAACTAATTTTAATGACCATGAATGAAATAAACTAATTATAGTAGTAAAGGTGAATTTTTTTAGTAATTTCAGTGACCAAACTTGCAATTTAGCCCCGCTAGAATTTACTGCCACAACTTGATGAACAAGTTGAGGAATTACGGGTTGTTGTCCTTATTGTTTCCTTTGTACCTACTTTTTTTTTACAATTCGTCTTTGTTCAAAGGGCGTCGTCGGTGTGTGAAGGAATGAAGATGGAGTTGCTCTACAAGTTCTCAGAAGGTACAATGGAGCTGACAGAAGACAAACAAGTCATATGACCAAAGCTTCCTTTCACTCAGGTAATTCAAGCAACTACATGCATCATGCAAGACTCCACTAGATGGAACTGCGACTGATTACTTCTGTAACTAGTTAGTTGAGTTAGTGATATAGTCTGCCACTTAGTAGTCTGCTACTTGTTAGTTTAATTGATAATTAGTAGTTTATCATTAATGTATAGTGACATAGCTAGGGTTTGGTACATATACAGAGTAACCCACGGAGGAAAATACATATTGTCAACTTCCCACAACACTGACAATTTCTTCTTCTGCTCTCTTCCCTTCTCAAACCCTAGTCGCTATCCAGTGCTAGGTTGCAAGTTTTCTCAAGGTATCAGAGTCTGGTTGTCTACTGATATGATTACTTTTTCTTTTCTATTTAATTTTTCTTGAACCATTTTCATGGTGACTAGCTCCATAACTAGTGAGATGTCGGAGAATACCCAACAAACAATTCTTATTCCACCCATCTCACCTCACTATGAAGACCCATACTCGAATCCCTTCAACTTGGCGTTGAGTGACAACTCAATTCTTCTTGTCGTCGGGTTCAAGCTGAACGACGACAACTACTTCCTCTAGAGTGAGTCAATTAAGGTTGCACTGAGCATAAAGAACAAGTTTGGCTTTGTCCTTCATACGATTCAAGTACCATATGTTTTCTTACCCTTCTTATGGTACATGGGATATGGTAAATGACAATGTGGTTTGGTGGATTAAGAATTCTTTTTCATAAGATATTGTCCCAAGTCTCATCAATATTAAGATTGCATATGATGTTTGGTATGATCTCATAAGTTAATTTGGGATTAACACCAAAGTAATTTACCCATACTATATTGTGATTGTGTTGCTAGAAACTATGAAACATTCATGAAATATCAAGAGCATGGCAAAATGATAAGGTTTCTATTGAGTTTGAATGGGAAGTGTCAGTGAAGATTCTTATTTTTTTATGAATGTGTGTTGAAGTTTAATTAACCAAAATAGTGGAGGGTCCATAAGTTGTGGACTAGAAAATAAGATTGTGTGTAATTGAGAAAATGGGTTAGATGAACATATTCAAATCACAACTCTAAATTTAGCCTAGAAATTCTAGCTCCAATGATACTCTTCTAAATAAAAACAAACAATGTAACCTAAAAGTCTAAAACGTAAACAATTGAACTATGAGGTTTGTTCCCTTGAAAAATTACTAGAGCAGCTGATGGAAAAAGAGATGGACACACAATACAAATTGACTAGTTGATCAATTTGTCTAGTGCTAACATTGCCCGTTTCAGCAACTATTATGGAGAAAACCTTGTCAACAATGGGACAAGTGAAATATGATTTGCACAACAAAATGAGCGATGAATTTCTCGCTGATTGCTTAACTATTTTATTTGAAGGAGAGTAGTATGTTATTGGTATGTATGTAGACTCCATTATTGATGAATTCGCTATATTAAAAGATCGATGTGTACAAATGCTATTGTAAAAATAACCATGATTTTTTACGGTATCTAATTTTCTAAGGAAATGCAGCCCAATGCTCTACTATGTCCTAGATCGGCTGCTGGCCATCGTTGGAGGGTAGGGGAAGATAGTTTGCGGCAGGTTGGGGAATTGAGAGAAGAATCATAGTTGGTAAAGGGAATTTGAGAGAAGATGGAGTGGGTGGGTTGATGGGAAAATAAAGTTACAGTTGGTCATTTTTTAGCAGGAGATAAGAAGATTTGGAGAGAGTGAATGCAAGTGCGGGCTTAAAATAATGGGTTTTAGCCTTCTTAGAGGACTTGGGTATTTTAAATGGGATGGGGGATAAAGAGTTTGTTGTAAAGATGGTGGTGATTGGCTTTGTATTGAAATTATATGGAGTAGAACTAGGGACATGAGGCCCAAGCGAAGTGCAGTTGGGCTGTTGAAGCAATCGGGTGAGGGTGTGGGTGTAATTAAAAATCGTGGGCTCAGATGTTAATACTAGATCCTTTGACAGATTCCCAGATCTAGACAATGTTTACATATATGTTGTTCAGTTGGAAAGGCAACTCAATGGGACAAGTGTCAATACAAGAAAACCAAAAGAGGCTGTAGCACTGGGTGCAATACTGGCAGCTTCCAGGAATAAATTCTCACAGTCCAAAGACAAGGCACACAAGGAGAGTCATTAGAAGGGTTGTTTGGTCATTATTACAAGTAGGATACCCAGGTTACTCAAGAGTGTTGGAAGCTTAAAAATAAAAAAACAAGGAAAGAGTAGGTAAGGCATTTGCTAGAGTTGTCAATGTGCACACAAGAGACAGTCGTGAGTCGACTATCAAAACTTTATGTTCCTTCTTTGTTGGATGCTCCAAGAGTTCACACCTGAGGCCTCTGGCTTCGTGGTCGTGATCTCGATCTGAAGACTGTGACCTCGATGCCCAGCTTTGCATCCTCAGTTCCCCGGTCGTGATCAAGCATTCCCTAGGCATGATCCTCTATTTTTGCACATTTCTCTACACGTGTGCCCTCTTTTGGTACCTAGAACACCCATATCATCTAATACACCCTAATATGCTAATATTTTCTTCTAGGAACGAACAAAGGATATATTCGACGACATATTAACCACGAAGACCATGAAATGACTCAAAACAAACCTAAATATTGACTCTAAATAACACCATTTTGAATGTTATCACTTATCCACAAGGTCAGGCAGTAGGGTATCAAGCCGATAAGACAAGCTTGATACCGAGATGACAAGTTGGCATCATGGCAAGATCCCTAAGACTAAGTTGCGGGAAAGAGGATAGGGTATCATCCCGTCAATGGGGATACCCATGTCTAACTAATAAGACACTTCATCAAGGTGGCTCGGTTAACAAGACGAGGGTTGTACAAGTCGGCATGGAGGGGGCTCCCTCATATCATCAAGGTTGTAGCTGTCCCTACAAAACAAGATGGTTACACCGTGGTGGTCAGCAAGACCTAAGCAACAAAAAGCTAAGTGTGGAGTCATTTGGGGCTGTCAAGGATGTGATCGAGACTTCGTCATTGGGACAAGGTAAGAAGCTTCAACCCCATCCAGTCAGGACAAGACGTCAAGATTCAACACAAACTCAACCTAGTGTCAGGCCATCAAGTACCAA